TTTTTTTTTTGTATACTCCGATAATGGCCAAGTTTGTTTCCGTTGCTGCTGACAGACAGATAGGCGGAGGTAAGAGTCGCACGTTTGTGTCTACATACAAACATACTTACATGGTTATAAAGGATGTGGCATGACTCAAAAGCGTTTGCTGCATTAACTGATCCTCCTCCTTGCTGTACGTTTCTTTTTGGCGCCCGGATGTTTTAGCGCTTCTGCTTCTGCTTCTGGTCAGCAACGCTCGCGAAGACCCTTCCTTAGCAGACACAAACAAACATACATATGTACGTATAGACAGACCCCTCATTGACTTGCATACCTCCTTTTTTGCACGTTTAAAGTAATTAGCGCTAAAAATAAATGCGTCTGTTTCTTGAGTACTTGCACTCGCAATAACATACCTACCTACTTACTTACTTACATGTATGTATGTATATGTCTGTATGTACATATCTCCTGTGCTTTAGTAAAAAAAAGCAGAAAAAGTTAAGTTCATGATCACTTAGAAATCGCTTAAACGGTCGGTTTTGCTGTAAAAGGAGTTGCAGCTGCACTCAAGTACTACGTGATTTTTGTTTTTTTTTTTCTACAGAGAAATAGAAAAAAATTACGTGATAAGGGAGGCAAATAAATTGCAAGAAATTATATACAACATTAACAATGACTACAGCGAGAAAAAAAATGTTGCAAATTTGTTCTGCCTAGCGATAATTTATGTTATTTTCAACTACCTAAGCAATGTCAGTAAGATTAAGGAAATACAAAAAGATAAACAGGAATGATATAAGATAGTTATCTAGATGAAGCTCAAACCTGAAAGTTCCCCGTTTGACGTATTCTTATTCGAAAAGATCATACGAAGACATCTAAAATCAAGTGGATTATAGCTACTAGAGCTCTAGCCATCTCCTCACCTCCTGAGAACGGGGATATAAAGGGGGCCTATAGGCTTTGACCCGCTTCTCCTAATCCCATGTCAGCCTGCATACTACTGTGTACCGGGACACAGTAGAGTTGATTAAATTCTGTCGCAAATATTGTAGCCGTTACCGATTCAAGGACCTCAATCGCAGTTGGCCAACAAAGGAAATTTTTATAAATGTTGGTAGTTCTTGAATACGCGGCAGTAATCTGATGTATGGGCAGTCACATATTTAGTATTTGCTCTGAAGGTTTCCTCCACCAGCCCACAAAACCTGCAGTCTGTCCCTACAGAAAGCCTAATTTTATTAAAATAGAACCTTAACTTACAGTGTCCTGTCAAGGTAGCCAGGAAGAGTTCTAAGACGCTCCCGGCTAAGTTCAAGGAATCTCTCGGAGTTCTTCCTGGAAGGAGTTATGAATCTCTTTGATTGTCTCATTCCCTTTTTCTTACGCCAGTATATTCCAATGTTCATTTTGGAGCCGCTCTTCGCTTCAGGCACTTTTAACGTAGATGTCTACAGTTTGAGTGTCCAGAAGTGTTTTTGGTGTCGCTTGAGATGTTCGGCAAATCGATAACCGTTGTATGTATATGTTACCGGCCAAACCCGGTCTTAGGACAAACTAGTTTTGACTAGGCTAAACTAGATCAGGCGCCACAGTATTTTTGAGTAGAACTCCTTTATGCGTAAGCGGCTTTCGACCGCGCTTCAAAAAAATTACCCTCATCAGTCCAACTACCACTACGCAGCCCACAATATTGTTGCGTTCAACTTGATTAGCGTTAGACGGATGTATCAGATCTAGATAGAACAAGTTTCGCCCAGGAAAAACTAGTTTGTCCTAAGTTCGGGTTTGGCCGGTAACATATATAGACAATCGCCTTGCCCTAGTTCACCTTTAGATCCATTCGCTTTGTCTCTTGATAGGGGCAGAACAGAATTTTAGTCGATATCGTCGAAAGGCGCCAGTAAATATTATACGTTATTATGAAACGAAATGTTCTGAATTAAGCCGCATAAGATTTTCGTTTTCGGTGACGCCTAATAAAATCCTTGTTGAATATCTTAACCTTCTAACCGTCGGTTTTTCTTAGATTGGGTCAAAAAGACCTATTAATAATAACACTATCAATTTTTTTAGTATTTGTTTTACAAAATTACAAAAAAGCAATAAAAAATAAAAAATAAAAAAATTTGCTCTAAACTTTATGACATTTAAAAAAATTTTGGTTTTAGTTTTTTGTTTAATTCCGTTATTTTATGTATTAAATTACACCAAAATTTGCAACTTACCTTGATGAGTTAATACCGAAACTAAAAAATTTGGTCTTCAATTTGATCAAATTTTACTTAAGGTATACTAAATTTTTATATAAAATTATTTTTTTTTACGAAATTACGACATGCCTTATAAATTAGAACTTTAGTTGAAAAGTTTTCCTAAATCTAATCAAGTTTGGAATTTTGTATTTTTTTATATTTTACAAGACCAAAAAAAATGTCGCTTGTATAATTCCGTTATTTTTCTATTAAATTACAACAAAAGTACAACATAAATTATAAATTAATATTACAATTAAAAGAAAGTTTGCCTTAAATGTAAACGAACTTTAAAAATTGCTTTACATCGTTCTTTTGCTTAATTTATTTCCATTAAGTTATTTTCTTTACCATATAGCAACATGAATTATAAATTGAAATTTAAACAATTTTGTTTTTAGATTTTAGTTTTTTGTTTAATCCCGTTATTTTTTCTAATAAATTACCAGAATTTTACAGCATATATTATAAATTAATATTGGATTTTTTTTTTAAATTTTTTTATAAAATTTCAACCAAGCAACAACACAAATTATAAATTAAGGTTTAAATTAAAAAAAATTGTCTCTAAATAATTTTAAAAATTATTTTATTTAAAGTTTTTACATTGTTTTATTTCTTTTAGTAGGATATCCGACAACGGCACGACCTTCGCTCATCTGTTTAATGAATGAAAACTACTTTGTATGAAATTTAACGTGTTAGGAAATATTTCGCGAGTGGGTTGGCTGAAAAAATTCTGGCTCGGATATTTTTAATTAAATATTCAAAAATTGCCTATATATCTACCAATCGAAAGCATAAAGCCTATAGAATGTGTTATACAGATCAGTGAAAATTACAAATATTACTTACCTGTTGATACCTGCCAACCCGATAGGTAGGCCAAGAAAAAAATAGACAATCCAAGGTTTCACATTCTATAGGTTTAAAACTTTCGATTGGTATAACATTTGCTCATTATACAAATGAGTACAAAATTAAAAAATAATAATTTTGGAATATTTAGTTAAAAAGATCCTGGCCACGTTTCATAGAAAAAAATTTCATCCATTAAACAGATGGGTGAAGGTCGTGCCTTTGTCGGATCTTAGACTATTTGGTACTAGTGACAAAATGCGTTATAAATTAAGATTGAAATTAAATAAATTTGCTCTTTTATCAAAGTACCAAACTTGCGACAATAAGCAAAATTAAAACTAAGCTATAACAAGCTGCCAATGTGAACGGCACAATACCAAATTTGTTTAAAAGAGCAACCTCAAATCTTGAGACATAAAAAAAATGCAACATTAATAAATCAATGTTAACAATTCGTGGCACAAAAATAATAGCTTCAAAAAATTACAGTCCAAAAGTTGGAATTTAAAGTCATCAAAGCTAAAAAATAAACAGAATTACTACGCATACAATTTTACAAAAACAAAATAGCGAAAGAAGCTGCATCTTCGGTTGATATTCGTGCAACAACGGATTTCATGTGAAATTCAACAGGAAAAAAGTGTAAAAGCAAAAAAAGTTAATTCAGCAAAAAATCGCAAGCAACGTGAAAAGTGTAAAATATTTGCATTGTCTTATACATAGCTGCCTCATTGCGACAACGACGACAACTACGTAAGTACTTTCGTACGCAACAAAGAATGAAAATGTCGCAGGCATGTTAAAAAAAAGAGTTTCGCAATAAAAGTGTAAAAAAAATTTTTGCTGAGCAAACAAACAAAGCAAGTGTAAAGAAAGCTATAAAAAATTTTAAAAACAAAAAGACATGAGATTATAATCAAAAACTCACAAACGCAATTTGGCCAATACGTAATCGCCATCATCAACATCAGCAGACCCTTGCAGCAGCAGCAGCATACATTTTTTTATGTCGATGCCTCAGCAACATTAGTGATCGCGCGGATAGCAACATTGTATGCCGATTTACTTACATACTACACTGCATTGACTACTACATATATGGCAGCCAGGCAAGGAATATGTCAACAACGAAGGATAAAATAAATTTTCAAAATACCTGGAGCTGCAACAAAACGACTGGTCGCCGTTCTGGAAGTGGGTATAGCTGCAGTTTCTTAGGTAAAAATCACACACGCATACATACATTCATTCATACAACAAAAAAAAAATACAACATACCATCATGGCCACTTACATGCTACAAACATACATACATACATACATACATTGGCACTTTCATACTCAAGCTTAAAATCGGTTTTTATTGTAGTTTATTTTTGAACTTTTTTTTTAGTTTTTTTCCACTTTTGTATTTTTCATGCAATACTTGGGGTCATTTGAGTGGCAATTCGTCGCTGTTGCAGTCTTTCAACTTCCCTTCTTCCACGAATGCTTTCCTCGTTCACACATTTTTATATACCCATTCTCCATGCTGCAATGTCTCTGTGCGAAAGGCAAAAATGGGAGTGACTAAGGGCTTTGGATTGCGTTGACTTGGTCGCATACACCAAATCACACATGCAAACATAAAAGTTGATACATACATATACGCCCATTGCATTGCCTTTTCTACCTTTTAAGAATCTAAAGAGTCCTCGCTAGCCAGACAAATCGTGCTTTTTTTATAGCCAAGTTAATTTAAATGCAATTTCTTTAACCGTTCTGTTTGTTGTAGCATGTTGCACAGCATCCAAGAGTTGGTTGCTTGGCTAGCGTTGGCTGTACGTATGTAGGCTTTTTTAAGGGCGATGACGCACGCAGCAGCGTTGGCGGCGGCGCGTCCAAAAGACATTTTTCACATACCAAATTAGCGTTGTTAATTTTTTGGGCACCTTTTTCATGTTTGCGGCTACAGCGTTTCTTGCGTGTACGTACTAAATTTCTTTAAAAATTTCTGTCACATTTGTTGACATAATTAAGTTGTGTTGATAGCCATGAAGTTAATTTCCAATTTGATGTTAGAAATTGTGAGGTTTTCTCAATTCAGCATTTTTTAGTTGTATTCAGCACATGTAAAATGCATACGTTTTTCTTATAAAATTCAAAAGAAATACTGGTGGTCGAAAATTCTTATGTTTTCTCAATTCAGCGGCTTTTAGTTCCATTCAGCGCATTTGGAATATGCTCATATTAGTTTTATGGAGCAGGGAGAATCTAACGGGTGTAGCTATTTTGTATTCAGCTCAATATAGAGGTTTGGATTAAACTTTCTAAACGATTCATACACAATATTCGGCGAATTCAGCGCATGTGAAAATGTTATTTGTTGGAAGATACAAAAGATGCCAAATATTTGTATAACATTAATATTCAGCCCATTCAGCTCGTTACTCTCCGTGGTTTATGCTGTATTAATAACTAATAAAGGCAGCAAAAAAAGTTTTCATGCAGCTATATCGTATTCAGCGCAACAGAACGGATCAGTGCTTAATGTGCAATTTTTTAAATCCAATTTTGTTATGCCCAAAAAGCTATGCCTTTGCTTTTGGCGCCTTAGAAGAATTTTCAGAAATACATAATGCATCTGAATTTGGATGATCACCTAGTTTTTTTTCAGAGCCGTTCTTATTTTATTAGTCTAAGATAAATTAAGTTCTTAAGTATACACAGTTAAGGCACACTTTAATGTCCATTAAGCATAAACATATTGATGCTGACCAAATTTTGTGCAATTCAGCTTTCTTGTATGAATTCAGCACACACGTTGCAACAGTTTTATTTATTTTAGACACATTTTTGAGTACTTTAGCTTGCCTTACTTTAATTTAGGGCAGAAATTTGATAATTCAACTGAGTTTTAGTAGCTCTGGCTATAAATGATTTCACTTAGCACGCGTTATTTGAGTTCAGCGCACAAATTTAATGATTATTGTTTATTTTAGACGAATGAAATGCAATTCAGCTTAGGTTTGTTTTTAATTCAGCGGATAAGTTTATAGTAATTTCATTTATTTAAAGAAATTCATTTATAATTTAGCTGATTGCTGAGCTTTTATTTGTTTTTATTTAACATTTAGCAAACGAATTAGCTATTCAGCGCCAAAATTATGATATAATAGTGCATATTTTCAACAAATTTTATTTATAACTCTTTGAAATTAATATTTTAACTGGAAGTACTAGCAATTAATAGATAATATACATGCAATTTTTTAATATAACTGAAGAGCAAACATATTCAGCGCAGTCTTACTAAACTCAGCATAATTCAGAGTAATAAATTTCGCAACGCTCTACATAAAATCGCATCACCATATTTCCAAGAAATTCATTCAAATAACGCTTCAGTTTCCCATTATATTCAATTCACTTCAGCTGCCGAAAATGCAGAAAAAAATAAGTCCAAAATTAGACGCGCTGCTGAGCAGGAGCAGAGATAATACACAAATAAAGAATAAAAAACTCAGGAAAAATTCGCCAAACTCACGTTGTCCCAAGGCTATGAAATGCAAATAAGTATTTTTTGCTGCTTACTTTCAATAAAAAAGAACGGAGATGCATACGAACTATGTAGATATGTAAGTATGTGCACACATAGTTGTTGGCGTAGCAGATGAGAAACAAGCGCAGACCATTGTCTGCCACAAGGCGAAAAATTTACCAAAAAACACAGCAAAGTGCTGATAAAAAGACTATAACAATAATGTCTACAAGATACTTACAAACAACCTATTGCTATTCGTTGTTGTTTTTGTTGTTATTTTCGGTACTATTGTTTCCCTCAAGTTCTGATTTTGTTGTTCCTTGTCCCATCTTTGTACTTCGATTTCATTAAACAAGTTCTCGCATGTGGTTTTATTAAAAAAAAAGGGGTCCGCTGAATTTTGAACGATCACCCGAAACTGGTCTTCCATTGCAAAATTTTTTTGTGAGAGACAACAAAATATTATTAATTTGAGTTTGATAAGTTTTCAGGGGTTCAGTGTTTTCGGGCTTTTAGCACTCCATTGAGCTTATACAACTTATAGCTGAATAAAGTTTTCGTGACTTGGTTTTGTATACATATTTTAAAAACCTCGTAAGTAAAAAAATCTTCAATTGAGTGGCTCAGTATTCAACTGAAATAAACTATTTATTTAGAAAAATAATTTATTTGGGAATCGCATTACTGAATACCTCGAATTTTGAAAATAATTAATTGCTAAATTGCTGCTACTATTTCCGAATGCATTTAAAAAGAATAAAGTGAAAGTTCGCATACGTTCAGTTGCTGAATATATTTAAGAAGAATACAACGTAAACTTTGGGCCGCTGAATTGCTTGCAGTAGCGCTGAATAAAGCTGAAAATTATTTATTTGCAATAAGTATCGAGTTTTGAATAGTATTTTGTTCTGAATTGCTTCTTAGATTGCTGAATACATTTAAAAAACTATCTATGTATGTGTATGCTATGTTTAAGTTAATTAAGGACGAATTAATGAATTTTAAGGTAGCAGTGCATTATTTTTATTCTACTAATGGAGATAAATTTTACAGTATGTATGTATGTATACCAAAGCGTTACTTTTAGGTCGCTGAATTGCTATGAGTGGCGCTGAATATAACTTAAAATTCTTTTATTTTATAATAAATAATGAATTACATGACGGCAACAGCGAAACATACAAGGAAAACGTTAAGAGCGCTGAATAGGCTGAAAATCTAGTTATCGGATAGTATTATTCCAGCTGAGTGTTTCAATAAAAGATAACGAAAATATTAATTAAAATTTAACAGTTGAATTGCTTTAACTAGCACTGAATTGTTTTGAAGAATAATTCATTTGACAAAACGAGCAATCATTTGGAGTTCAATTGGAGACATTTTGAAGGATTGTGCTTTTTGAAATCGAATGGGAGTTTTGGACGCATTTCCGTCAAGCTTATTAAAAAAAATCCCACTAATAAAGTTAGGAACTTTATATGCGCTGAATTAGACTCGAAAGCTTTGCATGAAAAAATGGGAAAGCTATGTGTGTCTCACCACTGCTGAAACAATTACAGAAACTTTTTCAAGCTGAATTGCGCTGAATATGAAAAATTTTCGCTAATTAATCTTTTTCGAAGAAAACATGTACATTCTGACGTTGATTGAGCACATTGAACATGCTTAATAAAAATCCACTATGCTGAATTAAGAAAAATAGAGAGAGTTTGCGCGCTGAATTTCTTTAAATTTCTTGATATGTCAAAATACATACTTCTAACATACATAAGTAAATAAAAAAACTAGATTTAGCAGAGAAGCTAATATTGGCGTACTCTATTTGTGCTGAATGCTAAGCTTTTTTTTTTGTAATCTTCAAAAGCGCTTATTTTAACAAAATTTTTTATATCTATCGCTGTTAAATTACTTTAACGCAAACATTTCAACGCTTAAAATAGCAATCACAAATACCAGACGTAGCTGAATCCTGCAAAATATAAATTTCAGATCTTTGAAAAGTTTAAAATATCAAAATTCATTCAATATACATACTACAGATCTTTCAATAAACACTATTTCTGTTGCTTTTTGTAGCTTTTGGCGCGCTGGATCACTTTGAGTTGCGCGGAAAACAAGTTTTAACTGTTATAAAATAGAGAGAAAGCAAAAATTTTCATACTCTATTTACGCTGAATGCTCAGCTAAATTATTTAAAATCTTAAATAGCAACTTTTTCTAGCATTTTTTTGTATACTTTTGGCTGCTGTATTGAATAGGAAAGCAATTCAGCACATTGAATAACATACCAGGCGAAGTTGACGCCTTGCAAATTTCGCGCATCACTGATATTTTTGAAATCCAAAAGAAAAAAACTTTAAGCAAGCTGTGCGCCTGAGCAAACATAACACTTGTATAGTGGTGCATTGAAAGGAAGGGGAGATATTGCAACAACAAAATACTAAATATTGACTAATTGCAAATTAGCATAGCACATTAGGTACTTCGTCTTTGCGCCGCCACCCACCACCAGCAGCCAGCCTCTTATACCTCGGCTGCAAGGAGCAAAACTACCTGTTCGGCCGCTTGCGAGTTACGCACGCACGCATGTACGTAAGCAAAAATGATGCACGATTGCTTTTGCACAAACAACTGCCACAGCTGCATGGCATGCGTGTGCGTGTGTGTGGAT